GGTTTTGCCACTGACAGATTACATGAGGAACTGTGTTGTGTTTATTTTGTACTTGATATTAACTATAAAATGAATATAAAACCAACCATAAGAGTAATTTCACAATTTCAGGGAGCTGCCTTTTGCAGTCATTACTTGAAAGAGAACTGATTTCTATACATACCTCTCTCTTCCCAATTTGAGTGTAAAAATAATTGAGCAAATTCTGTTTGGCCTCCTTGACTTGACAGTAAACTACCGCCTTAGGAATAGTGTTCCTCAGAGTATCCGAGACCATATTTATGTAAGACGAGACATTCGAACCAATCCGCCTGAAGTGTGTTTCCGCATAGCGGTCAACATTCGGGGCAGCCGGAGAATGATCCCGTGCATTTCCCCCAGGTGGTCCCATTTTCTCAACTTCCTGAGGAAGTTTCCGGAAGAAATCAACAGTCAGATATGAAGACTCCATGTCGACCAATCTAACGACCGTTTTCTTGCTCTCCTCACGAAACCTTTCCAGAGCTTCATTAGCAGCTCCAGCTATAGTTGATTGCAAAGTTGGAAATCGTTTCAGTTCCTGTTACACCATTTGAAGTAATAAAATAATATTAGAGAATTAAATATAAAAAAAAAGTCACAGAAAATCACAACCTGTAAGAATATTAGAATAACACTCACCTGACACTCTCCAATTGACTTCCTCACAAGCTCCTTGAGTACAAAGTGGACCTGGATAACATTTTTTTGGTAGGCCATGAGATAAATATAGTATTGATGAGATTTACAATAATATAACAAAAAATATTGTCCCTAAATCAGGCTACTTACAGCATCCACTGAAGCTTCAGCAGGGCCTCTAAAATAATTTAGTGAGCCCTCAATAAGCCGGCGATAGCCTTGCTCAGGAGCAATCAAGTGTGGCTGATAACCATCAGCTTCTGAAACAATTTTTCTCACATTTTGCACCGAAAGGTGTCGATCAAATGGAAGTTTTCTCAAAGCAGCGGGCAGCTGATTGTCGAAAACTCCATAAATTCGATCCCCTCCAGGTCGGCTGATAATGAAACAATTGAGAAGCTGATTAGAATTTAACCATAAAGAAGCCCAATTTACAATCATAACTGATACTATGTATACTATGGACCAAGAGTTTCTATTATCCAAATGTACAATTTAGCAAAGTTCCTGAAGAAAAGCATGATTGTTAAGATCAATTGTGACACGATTCAAAATAGAAAATGATGCGCAACTCAATTTGGGGTGTAGGGCATTGAAGAATCAGATAATTATAAGAATTAATTAAGACTAAGAAAATGACTCCAAAATGGTATAAAAACAAAGCATTACCCTCCATCCAAATGCTCCTTAAATATCTTGTCAAAAGCACGGCAAAGTTCCAAGATAGTATATAATTGAGCCTGAAAAAAACAGCCATCGTTACCAGCAAGATTATACATCATGTCAGTATTATTCTTAGGATCTAGGAAGGCAAGAAGCTCACCCCAGCATCAACAGCAATAGGCCTTCCAAGGTGGTCTAGCTCAGATTCAAGTTCATCAATGCTCTTGTTAATTAATGAGGTGATACTTGGTATTCTTGCCTTAATTACAGATTCCAAATGCTGAGAGACAGTATTCAACATAATAAGCTCAAGTAAGACTGCAGTAAGTGTAACAATTACACCATTGCTGCTTTGCCAAAGAAAGAAAGAAAAAGAAAACGAACAAAGGAAAGAAAAGTACCCTCGAGAGCAGTTTTGCAAGATATTCAGAACCCATTTTACTAGACAAGTGTCCGTAGTCAGGACTTGTGGCAAAATATTCACGCTCCTTTCGCCTAGCAGCAATCATATCAACATTTTTGTTGATATCAGCCTGTGAACGATTCACGATACCCACCCAAGGGTGCTGTAAGCGGTAGGATCTTCCTTCTAGAACCTATTGAAATTAGATTAAAAAAAATAGGAAATTATTTTATGTGATTCTAACATTCAAATATACAGGAAGGAAAAGATTAAAGAAGGTGAGATGAGGGGATAGAGAGCATTACATCCAATGCATTAGTTCCCCTGTCCATCAGATCAAGTTTTGTCAGCACCCCAAATGTGCGTTCACCTTCATTAAGTGCCACAGTTGTCAGAAAATGGCACATATAATATTTTATATCCATGCTCTCAATTTCCAATGGAGAAGAAATTTACCTGATGGGTCAACTTCCCTTGCAAGTTTAATTGCATCTGAAGTCGCAATATCCTGGTTTGCTGGAGATATTGCCAGGATGATGCAGTTGGGCTGCATATGAAACCAATTTTGATATACAGAGTTAAAGGAACCATCTACAACTTGAAATGTCTAAACAAAGTGAAGTGAAGGGAACAAAATCAGAGTACTATGATAAATACACCATATGATATTTTGTGTACCTTCTCAACATATGAGCGAACCATATTTTCAATGTCTTCGACTATACTTTCAGGCTGCCCCTCTGCAGAAATTTATTGTCTTTGCGTTGAATAAAAATTCCAGTATATCAAGAATTTATCGAACAATCGATAACTAAGACAAACTTACCGACAGCAACTTTTGTCAAACCAGGAAGATCAATCAGAGTCAAATTGACGACTGCAAGGGACAACTCAACAACTCAGCATCAGAAAACTCTTGATGTGAGGAAGAACAGATTTTGAAATTTCATTGAACAAAAATTAGCTCCAAAAATAATATACCATTAGGCGAATAGATACTCAGGTGAATAGGAACAGGAGAAATTTGTTTTGACTTTCCCGTAATTCTATCAGTTTCATCTTGAATTTCCTTACGAACCAAGGCTGCATTAAACATTAGAAATAAGAATAACTTTAGAATTGAGTGCCTCATGCATTACCAAAAAAAAGAAAAAGACATCAAGTATCAGAGATCAAATTTTCAGAGATTCACACTCATTCATGTTCATAGCACTAACGTAGCAAGTCTCACACATACCGAAATCACTGAATCGTCTACGAGGCATATGTCCAAATTCTGCATATTCCTGCTGCCCATCTTCCGTTTTCTGCAGTTGTAATACTAATGGCCGCCTAGTTACAATTCCTAAAACCAACAACCGAAAAGATATTAAACATAAAAAAAAGCAGATGATCAACTAGCTCATGCATTATTTTCGCCCAATACATAAATCTTTATTATAACAAGAATTCAAGGACTAACCAGAGCCTCGGGGAAGAAAATCACGCCCTACAATGCTCTCCAACACTGATGACTTTCCCGAACTCTACAAACAGAACCAAAACACAAAAACATAAATAAGAGTTAGCCAACATTATTTAACAAAAAATAAAACAAAAATCGCACCTTTTCTCATGTATCTGTACACATAATAATTGAGAAATGAATAAATNAAAAATCCTTGCCACACTCTCTGATCCCACAACCTAACCAACATAAAACACTATCCACACTAAATCTACCGGATCTGCTAGTTTCTCAATCGCACTTGAACCAACAAAACCAGCAACAGTTTAATTTTTTAAATTTAAAAAACAAAAATCCTAACAGACAACTGAGACCCAGATGCTGACCTGGCCACCGACGACGGCAACGGAGGGGAGCGCGTCCCACAGAGAGGAGAAGGCCTGGTCGCCGCCGCCGTAGTCGCCGAGGGCCGTGCAAGCCCTCTGTATCCTGTTCACCAGCCCAATCAAGCTCTCCATCGTTGCCATCTGCTTTCCCTACTCAAATATTCAGCCGACAAATAAAAATCGAACGAATTTCGGCACAGATCTAACTCAACAGCTGGATAAACCACCTGCCAAGCTTGAAACGAATTGAAGAATGGTACTAGCAGCAAAAAAAATAAAGATTGACGGCGAGTATATTGGGAAGAGAGAATATAGGAGAATTTTCAATTTTGGACTAGTTTTACTCGGTTTTTAGACACTGCGGTAGAAAAACTGTGGAAAAATAATTGTGGAGTGTGATTTGCGAACAATGGGGGTGGGGTAATTATTGGGTGGTCTGCGGTCCACTTGAGGCTGGGTGGGGTTGAGTTAAAGACCGTTGTGAGGTGTTGTACCTTTCCTTCTTTTTTTTTTTTTATCTNATTTTATATTACAGTAACTTGTGGAGGATTTTGAAATTTGAAATTTTGGAGTCATTGGTGATGGATGAAAAATGCACCGTTGGGTTTTGGTCGGCGCCAGGCAGTGGTGGGGCCATGGCCTTCAATGGATAAATGTCCAACTAGGCATGACCACGAGTTGATTCGGACTCGAAATCGGCCCTAAATCGACAAGTGGTCAACGCGCCTTGAATTGAGATTGCAGTTTGACCGAGTCAGTTTTGGGCCTCATTATGTACTTTTTGAATCGTCGGGCCGGTTCTAAATTAGAAACCGTTCGACGATTAGACCTTTTTTTTTTCATTATTATTTTTATCCTTTTTAATGAATCGAGCTGTCCTGAAATCGACGGTTCGTCAAACCGGCTTGTGCATATGTTCAGGCCGATTCAAGGCCACCAACCTTTGGGCCAGGGGTCCAAGACTGGATTTGGCTATGTCTATGTCCAACACAACATAAGTGAAAAAAAATTATAAGTGGTAAATTGAGTTAGATCCAATTTTTACCTCATTGTATAACGGCACTAAATTTTCATCAGTTCATCAACATTTGTATATTCATACGAAAATGAAAATCCAATGAATTCACTACGTTTGTGTGTAGAGTCGAACTTGTCTCATAAGTATGGTGTAAATTAATTTGTTAATTTGGACATACTTTCCCTAATTTATGCTTTTTACATTTTGAAAATGCTTTTCTCGGGCATTCTACTTGCAGCTTCTAACTTACTTAAAAAAAAGAGTGTGCAGGAGAAGGAAAATGAGAAAGAATTGAACCGATTGAACACTTGTTTTTTTCTCTCGTTCTAGAGCACAAATGGTATGGAAGGTTGTCCCCCTCCAATAGGATGGATTGCAGACTAACTCGGAAAACTTCACGTAATTGTAGTAAAAGGCGTGCTCTAATATTGATGTTTCTGAAGACAAAATACAACTCACCATGTACATCATTTGGTTGCTTTGGAATACACGAAACTTGTGGGTCTTTTCATGATTTACGAAAACCTGAAAAGGTGATCTTGGATTATGAATTTTGAGATTGGACCTCTTTTTATGTGTTTTGTTTATCTAATTAAGTTTTTTTGTTCAGTGACTAGTTGTTTTGATTTTAATTTTTGGTATGATTGGTTGACATGGTTATTAAAGGATTCAGTAAGTTATACTGCCTTTAGCAAAGGTATCATTTTTTTTTTGTGCTCTTGCGGTTCTTTCCGTAAGCCACCAGGCGTGGTGCTCATTCGTGCAGTATTTGATGTCTAGTGTCTTTAGAACTTCGTGTACTTGTTTCGTTATTTTGGTTGAATGAGAATAACTTCTAGCGTTTCGATAAAAAGAAAAAAAAATGCTTGTGGCGCAATATCAAATAATTATTTACTCATTTCAATTTTTATATTATTTAATTTATTTAAATATATTTGTATTTAAACTGTATTATGATTGGTAAATAGCCCATATCTGTTCATCAAATCGAACATAATTTTTGTAATATGTTGTTTTTAAAATAGTGTGCTTTTTATTGCAATGAAACTTTAGACCGGATGCGCGCTTGTTTATCGAATATTTTGTCAAAAATGAGTTATTTTGGTTAACCATGTAGTTAATTTTAGAAAATGTGATATAGTTAGTTGTAGTGAAATTTTAAGAATGTATTAAAATAATATTTAAAATAAAATAATTAAAATTAATTTGATGTAAAAGTAGAAGATAAATGATTGAGAACGATAGGTAGTTAAAATTATATAAGTGGATAAATATAATGAGATTAAGTTAGATTTTGAATATGAAATAAATATGAATAAATTAACTTGTAAATAAATGCTTTTGGTCCAATTTTGATATATGGACCAAAATTCTCAATGATATGGGTGAAATCAAATAAAAATTACAATTATTCTAATGTAAAACATATGGTCTATGCCATTGCTAATCTGCTAGACAGCCTAGACTCATTCAACTTTTATTTGAAAAGCATCTTTCTCTACAAAGAGTCGTGTAATTTTTTATTTATTTATTTATTTTTTGTTGACAGCAAGTAACAAGATACATTAATTCAAATCCTTCGTTACAAACTTGGGGCATGCTTTATGAGTTAATTTATTTACCTTTATCTCATACTCAAAATTTAATTCAACTTTAACTCAATCCTACTATCTTTAATATTATTCATATAATTAAATTAAATAATACAAACCATCATTCTTACACATCACATCATTTAATTCACTATTCATCAACTCACATAATTTTAACTACCTATCATTTCTAATCATTCCCAATCATTTATCTTCTACTTTTACGTAAAATCAATTTTAATCATTTTATTTTAAATATTATTTTAATACATTTTTAAAATGTCACTAACAACTAACTATACCACATTTTCCAAAATTAACTATAGTTAACCAAAATAACTCATTTTGAACAAATTATTTCATAAACAATCAAGTCCTTAATCATCCATGAAGGAAAATCACATTTTTACCACACAAAGTGAGAAGTGTGAAAAGAAGAAAATGAAGAAATAGCATGCGCCACATGATTGGTTAATCTAGATACGTGAAAAATAAAACAATTATCCGACTCATCTAATATCCGTTTAATGTCAGCTGTAATCACTCCACAATAACCGAGAGACCCCTTAGGATTTGTAACTGCTTGTACAATACTTATGGAGTCTATTTTCACTTAAACGGGAAATAAAATTCTTCGCTTGAGTAATTTTGATCCCTTCCATGACAACAAGTAGCTCTCCTTCTACAGAAATTCATGCGCTTTATTTTTTGACCAAACACCACCTTCAGTTGCCTTATCGAGTCTCGAAAAATTCCACCTACGGCAAAAAGACCCTTTCCATGTCTGTTTACAAAGACATGTCGCTTCTTTTCCTCCGAGAATATTATGTACGTTTGGTTTTTCATGAATTTTTAGAAAAACAAATAAACAAGTAAATAATAAAATGGGGAAAATGAAATAAAGACACAGCGAGTAAAATTGTAATCATGCAAACATTCCATTTATATACGCAGACGCTTCAAGAGTTTATATTACAAATCAGATATTGTACCCCAAAAAAAAATGAAAGATAAATAAAAATACCGCGAGTAAACTCTGTGCTATTCTTTATCATCATACAACGAGTGAAAATAATTCACTGNAAACACAGCTTCCTCAGCTAAAGTGAACTTCAATCTTTCTTGTAGACAAGGGTTGGATATTCAGGACTCCACATATTGTTCAGTACATAAGTTCTAATTTCATCCTGAAACGCAAATCATACAAAAAGAATTAAATTAAATTCGGAACATAAAGTAGCAGACATTGATCACACTAAATGATTTCAGAACAATAAATGACATATCACAACATAAGTTGAAATTGAAAATGAAGGGTTAAATTATCACAAATGAATAATTGTCAACAAATGCACACTTCCAGGGGTTAATTTGCAGAATAATGCTTCAAATACCTGATTAAATTTGTGCAATTCACGGGCATACATCTCTCGGTATCCTTCTGCAAGATCCTCTTCTATGGCTTCTGTAATGACTGCTGCAGCTACTTCCTTTGTTATATCGCGTATTCTGATTTTTCAAAGTTCAGGAAAAAAAAAAATATTAACCATTTGGTGTAAGTGTAAAAGCTGTGTTTCAATGATGTTGTTCATGTTTACCTGAATATTGATGGATATATTATGCCTTGAAGTACTTCTTCCTCAGTCATGTACGCGGCTAGGCTGTAATTACAAAGCATTACGTGATGATCCACATGTACCATTCAGCTGCTGCCTGTAGGCATCCCGTCGGAGACAATTTTAGATCCAGATAGAAGTGTTCCAAGCCCAATACTGGATTTATACCAAAAATTAATCAAAAAGAAGTCCCAATGTCAACTAAATCTTTTGTTCATCATGAATGAGAATTTTCAGAATCTTACCCGGGGAAAAGAAACATGTTATTTGCTTGGTTGCAGTGGCCAGTGTGACCATTTCCTGTGCATTATTGGGAAAAAAGTAGAATTATTATGAAAAAAATAAACATTAAATAATTGAGCGGATCCACCGTCCATCTACTATGAACTGCATAACATTTTTCATTCTCATTTCAAAAAACCATCCATCTACTATGAACTGCATAACATTTTTCATTCTCATTTCAAAAATATAAAGGTACAGTCCCCTCTCAATATCTTTGTGTCAAAAAGTTTACCTGTTATATAACATTACGGCACTTTAAATTGTTCCTCAGTTCAGTTTAACGATTTGTTTATTATTTATTGTCCCTTTCAATATCATTGGAAGCCTAAATAAATTCTTCAGTTCATATACTCAATATCATCGGATTTAGTTCACTAGGAAGAAAAACTCTACACTTGTCTACTCAAGTTCTAGCATCATCATTCACCAATAAATCTTAAGAGGACTTTACTAGCACGCGTCAAAAGAAATTAAGGAAAATGAAAACTCGGTAGTGTTGACGTACCCAGATCAACATTGTTAAATGGGCTTCCACTTCCAAATATGATGTGGTCACCAACTATGGAAAAAGCTGTAGGGAACTTTATCGGAAAAATAAAAATAAGATGGTTATAATATATAATACCGAGGCCTGTGGGAACACAGTGTCCTTAAAACAGATTCGCCCCGTATGAGCGTCTGTTTCCCAGAATACAACGGAAAAACCGAAACAAATTCGGCGAAGTGGAATTATGCCTGAACCAAAACACTTAAAGAAAATTGGGAAAAAAGTTTTTAGAATAAAATGTTTTTCTTTTCTTGGTGTCTTCTCTTATAACCATACCACATATTTATATATGCACCAAAACCAAGAGTAATAAATCTCTTACGTTTTGTCCTTTCATTCAAGTTTAACATTAAGTTGTAAGTTTAAAGAATCAATTCTAATGTTATAACTCATAAGAATTAATTCAACCAATACATTTTAATTTCATTCACACAAATTTTTCCAACAATCCCCCACATGAATGAAATTAAAAAATAATGTTGTGGTCCAACAGTTGAAACCTGCATAGGATAGGTAGGTGTTATCCTTTGAACCTTCCCTTGTGAAAGCACATTAACTTCACTAGCTGACCAGTAGACGCGATATCTTTGAACTGTTCTACCTTTTGTGTAAACGATAAATATACTTCACACATGATTCTCCCTAACATATTCCAGTTCTCATTATTATGTCCGTTAGTGGCCTTGGACATAGCCTGGTTCTGTAAGAGGGTCTAAGAATTGAGCCTCACACAATTCTTTTCGAAGCGGCCCCACTTCTCTCTCACAAAGGTGATTCTTAATTACAAGTAGCCCGTACTACCTTCCCATACAAGAATCATTAAAAGTCAAATGCTTATCCTACTCCCCACGGGTATCACTGTTTAAGGAATGGACATGGGATAATATCCCACAGTGATCACTAAAGTCTTTTTACAATTAGGTTGTCCCTTTGAACCAAGATCTTGGGATCTCCAGTCAACAAGGTAGGGTTTCCATTGTATCAACTCATTTCTAGAGGCTTAAGTCCCATTCCTCTCAAAGATTTAGCAACCAACTCTCTATTTAACCCTTTGGTTAGCGGATCCACAAGATTATCTTTTGACTTAACATAGTCAATAGATATAGTACCAGTTGAGAGTAGTTGTCTAATGGTATTATGTCTTCGACGGATATGTCTAGACTTACCATTATACATATTACTTTGAGCTCTGCCAATAGCTGATTGACTATCACAATGTATACAAATAGCTGACACGGGCTTTGGCCATCTCGGAATATCTTCTAAGAAATGGCAAAGCCACTCCGCCTCTTCTCCACTTTTGTCCAATGCTATAAATTCGGACTCCATTGTGGATCTGGCAATAACAGTCTGCTTAGAAGATGTCCATGATATGGCTGCACCTCCCAAAGTGAATAAATATCTACTAGTGGATTTAGAATCTTTCATATCCGATATCCAGTTGGCATCACTATAGCCTTCAATTACAGCTGGATATTTACAATAGTGCAGACCATATTTACAAGTATATCTCAAGTATCTGAGTAATTTCACAATTCCTTTCCAGTGTTCATCTCCTGGATTACTTGTATATCTACTCAGTTTACTCACGGCAAAGGCGATGTCTGGTCTAGTACAATTCATTAGATACATCAGACTCCCTATTACCCTTGAATATTTGACTTGAGAAATACTTTTGCCTTTATTATTCGACAGATGTTGACTTATATCTATCGGGGTCCTAGCCTGAGTCAAATCATACTTGTTAAATTTTTCAAAAATTTTCTCCACATAATGTGTCTGACTTAGAACAATTCCTTGTGATGTTCTATGGATTTTAATTCCAAGAATCACATCAGCTAGACCCATATCTTTCATGTCAAATCTTAAATTTAACATATCTTTTGTGGATTTAATAATTTTATCATTGCTTCCAACAATAAGCATGTCATCTACGTAAAGACATAGGATTACATAACCTTTTTCTGTGTCTTTAACATAAACACATTTATCACATTCATTAATTTTAAATCCACATTGAATCATGACATTTTGTCCATTGCAAATGGAGCTGGAAGAGTTATTGTTGACAATTCTCCTGGCATAGTGCTAATAATGGACTAGATCAAAATGGCTCAATTAAATTCTAATGCTTCTTCAATTTAGTGAAGTTTCTAGAAAAAAAAATATATATATACATATCAAACGGCGCAATGAGCCTTGGGTCGCTACGGAAACAGTCTCCTTGTATAATTACAAGGGTAAGGTCTGCGTACAACTGACCCCCCAGACCCCAACCTGTTGGGAATATACTGGGTATGTTGTTGTTGTTGTTGTATTGAATCATGACATTATCAAACTTTTCATGTCATTGCTTTGGAGCTTGTTTTAAGCCATACAAAGATATAACCAATTTACAAACTTTATTCTCTTGCCCGGGAGCAGAGAACCCTTCAGGTTGCTCCATATAAATCTCTTCTTCTAAATCTCCATTTAGAAAAGCTGTTCTTACATCCATTTGATGTATTTCAAGATTTCATAAAGCTGCAATTGCAATAATCACCCTGATGGATGTTATCCTCATTACTGGAGAATATGTATCAAAGCAATCAAGGCCTTCTTTTTGTTTATAACCTTTAATCACAAGTCTAGCTTTATACTTATCAATTGTTCCATCAGGTTTTATTTTCCTTTTGAAAATCCACCTGTAGCTTAATGGTTTACTTCCAGGAGGAAGATCCACTAGCTCCCATGTGTGATTTTGCAAAATGGAATCAATTTCACTTTGGATTGCCTCTTTCCAAAGAGGTCCTTCAGAAGTAATATGTTTAACAAATATAAGTATTACCATTTTTTGTGGGGTTAGACATTGGAAAAATTTCTGGTCTTGTGGAAGTTGAACCTTTCAGAGCTTCTAATACCTGACAATTGCACAACAGTATGGATATCATCTTACAAATTTTGTAAGGACATGTGCGAAAACGTAAAAGAAGGGGGAAGTGATAAATCCAGACAAACGTCTTTATATATTCGAAGATGGAGAAATTAAAAAGACAAATGGATTCCATAACTCTCTGGAAAACAAACCTCCTACAACAGACAATCCCAAAAGCACATCGGGTTTCATTTGTCGAACCTGATTCGACATAATCCAATTCATTTCAAGCAACAAGATATCAATCACTTTAAACCCGAATACAAATTGGTAGGGGAAATCAGACAACTTGTTAAACGATAAGAATCACATAATTGTAAATAAGACAAATTTAGTGGGTGGTTAATTATGAGAGAATGACAATAAAATAATGGAATTCAGCCTACTGTGCCATTTGAATCACAAAAAAGAGTTGAGCGAAACATTGTGAAACTTAAGCTTTCTCCCAAATCAGAGATCCAGAAAGTGAAAAAGAAGGTTTTTCAATAAAGCAGAGCTCTTATTTTAACATAGAAGTAGGTTTCATCATCAGTCCGGGGAAGCTTGAAAATTCCACCAGTAACTAATTCCATGTTTGAGATATCATTTTTGGAATTTCATTTTGTAACTAAATTAGACATCTCTTTCCAAGGTTGTATTCAACAATTTTATATTGGCACTAACTTAGGATTCAGGAAATAGCCATCAGCTGCAATTTTTTGAAATTTTGCTCAAGAAGAAGAATAGATCACTCTGTAACAATTGATAGTTCAGACATCCAATACCAAAGAAGCATTGAAGGTTTAGTATACTAACCACATCTACGAGATGTGCCCCTTCTGTCAGCCCTTGCCGCCGTTCAGTTTCTTTGACCTTTCTAGCAAATGGTCGAGCATCTGGATCAATTCTTTCACGTGCCTCGGTTATAAGTCCCTTAATCACATAAGCATTAAATGTTCAGTACTGGCAGCTGTCGAAAAAATAATTTTAAATGTCTAGAGATGAAAAACAACAAATTGTGTGGGATGTTCCAGCTTAATTATTCATCAAGTAAAATAAATTTTTCTCACTTTCCATCTCAAATTTATTGGAAAGCATCATAAACAATCAACTCACATTAGCATCAACTACCCAAAATTGACTCCTCGCACTTTCAAAAGCAATATCGGTGTCCCCAAGCATTCTCGCCATTGTTTTCCTTGCAGCATTGAGAACGCCTATTCCAGCACTGCAATCACAGTTTTAATGATTTGTATGTGGAACAAAATAAGACGGGGGCAATTAAAATTACAAAAAATTGTACCTCCCAGCACCAGCAACTACAATCTTCATCTTTGAAGGACACACAATAAACTTGAGATACACAATAACTTAAAGTGCAATAACTTTCCATTTCAATAAAGTGCAATAACTTAAGATACACAATAAACTTGAAGGACTTGATCCATCCTTCAATACCCAGTGAGAGTGACCCACCAACATTGGTTTAATGTTTCTAAAATAGCTTAACAAGTTCCTGCTAATTAGAACAAGGCAAAAACTCACAACTAGTATTTGCTGAAACCCAAACTATAAGCACAGCTAATATAACCATTGCCCAAACTAGAACAGAAAACTACTTCATGTTAAATGCACACGTTTATTTGTCAATATTATTTTACCTTGACTAAGGGATAGGATTAATACCCCATGTCAGATTGTATTGAAGACTAACAAAACTGTTTCATCAAGCCCTTAAAGACTACTTACTAAAGCATTCAATCTGTTGTTCAGAAGACATGACATTGGGAGGCAGTAAGCCGCGAAGGTGAAGACGGTCACGTTCTGTCATTGAAAATGCAGTTCCCTGTATTCATGGAACAAAAAATAAATAAAATAAATCAAACCAGGTTCCAAGATGTTGGAAAGATTTTACTGAATCTATGCAATTTGCACAAATAAGAAAATAAGCACACAATAGTGATCAATTGAACTTTGAATAAGGTTAAGTTGGCTTTATTATACCCACAAAAAACTCTTTGAATGACCATCATTGTTCCCTTGAACAGGATAAACATGTTACATGGACTAGGCAGGAAATTGCACTTTCTTTCTTGTTTAAGCCACACGTTTCCAGTTGCATTCATCTTATCCATTATCATTCACCAGATAAAGTTTGAGATTGAACATATTTTCCCATCACCCAATACTCTCCCCACTATCATCATAAAACCAGACAATTTATCATTTACCATAAAACTTGTAACCAGGCAATCACTACACCTAACCTTGTGCCAACAAAACGCATCCATGAAGTTACCCAGCTCAAATGCAGAAACACACAGGTGGTTCAACAACTCCCAGAAAATCAACTAGCACAGAACCCCAACAACACCATCACCAGATCTCAAAAAATGGCAATCAACTCAAAACATACCTTGTTGAACCACGGATCGTGGAGAATATCCAAGCTCCACTTATGGACTATCGTAGGGCGGTGTCCCTCCGTTGTGGTAAACAACCTGGCGCCACCCGCATTCTCGCCGGCGGCAGCAGCTCCCTGCCGCGACTGCAGACGCCTCAGCAGAGCTAACGAAATCCTCATCTGACGAGAACAATTCCCCATCGATTCACGAAAAACAGTGAAGATCAGTAAATATGTAGTCGCCCACAGTCCACATAGGCAATGGTGATGGAGCTTATGTGTGGAAAGTCTTCAATGGCGGACGCGAGGTTTGAACCGAAAAACGGAGAATCAGTTTTTTGCTAGTGACGGAGAGAGTACTGCATTGGGAAGTTGTACATTGTGGAAGGGAGGTGGTACCTTAGTTTGGCAATAAGAGATTGTCAATGGGAAAATTTGTCGGTTAGCTTTTACATTATAAATAGAAAGTCGAGGTCGTTTTGTGGGGGCTGACAGTCAACGGTTTTACGATAATTCGTGCCAATAATTAATTGGACAAAAAAAAAAGAAGAAGAAAAAGAAGAAGAAGAAGAAGAAGACTTGGGGGAAGGGAAGAAAGGCCCGGTAAAAGGAGAAGAAGAAGGATGGGCGATTCTGTTGGGCTTAGCCCGTTATAGGGTTTATTGTTTTGTGGGAGACCATTTTATTGGGCTGGCCCGTCGTGTAGCTCAACCACCAATATAGAGTCTAGTTATAAAAGAGCAATCGTTAGACTACCTACAAGTACAACTCGTTAGTCTAACTATAATATTAATTATACTTTATACTTTTCGCAAACTCGATTGGACTCAGCTAGTTAAGGCCTAAACTTATGTTCGTTTAAAACTTGTATAGAAAACAAGTTGATTCGTTTACACATCAGCATTTCAGCGTGAAAGTATGTGAAAAATTTAACTATCTTATCATAAGAAAGTCAAATAATAACTATATAAAGGAAAATAGTGGATTTTTCATAACAAATCAATAATAAATCAAATTAAATCACTTCAATCTTCAAAATTCAAATAAAATATCAACTAACATTCTTTGATTAGATCATTAATAACATAATATTTATTTCAAATATATCTATATTGGGCATTCATTTTATAACAAATCATAAAATAAATAAATAAAAGGATTCACAAAGATTAATTATCAAATTTGCCATGCTCCTTGATTGAGGGGATAGTGGCGATAATATATCAAATTGTCTTTTATTATATGATAAACCGCGAATCAAATAATTAATTTTGAATTAATGTCAGGCTAAATTTTAATCAAAACTACATTGTAAGGTAAATTAACGTAGTTAGATCTTAATGATAATTCTAAAAACTTTGGTACCCAAACCGGTCCCATCTATTTGGTACTTAATTTAGTTGAACAGAACAAAATATAATAATGGACTGGGTCGTTGTGTCTAATGAAATCATCACCCATGAACTTTATATATGAAATTGATTATTACAATTTGATTATGATGTTAATACCAAAGATATAAAATTGGTCTCAAATATGAAAATTACAAGAATTCAAAGTTTTTGAGGGCAAAATCTATTTTCTTTCAAAAAAGTAAGAGCTCTTTTTTATTATTAGCGGATAGTGAATTTTATTACTGGTTAGTTGACCGTGGATTTTAATATTTAATTTGCCAAATGGGTTACATTAGTTGTTTGTAAATGATTATTAGTATTTGATAAATAGCAAATTATATAGATATTATGATTATTTTAATATGTTATTATACGAATCATCTCTGCTCAAAATGTTTTTATATTAAATTTTTTCATAATTAGCATCTTGGACTAAAAAGTTAATCAAATAAGCTCTTCACAAATAATTTAATTAATGAAATTGACGGGACAAATATCTAAATGAGGTTAGCCAAACATTATGAGTTCAACACGAACTCTGACTAACTTGAACGTAAGTCAGTTATTACAATAGTTTGTTCAACTTTCACACATCAATCATCTTGTAATTACAATAGTTTGTAACTAGAATATATAATATTAAATCATTGCATTGTAATTTCCTTAATTTCACAAAAAAATAACTCATTTCCATGAGCGTAAGTAAGTTATTTCTCATCGGTTATCAAATATATTTTTGATAATATTTCAATTGTTGTTGAAAATTACGTAATTTTTAATAATTTATCTTTATTAGAAATGTTTATATTTGATAGGAGGGGAAAAATAAAAATTAAAATGGGATCAAATTGTAAATTACAATAATAATAACAAGAAAATGTAATTGTCGAGTAGGACAATTGCTCCCTAGGTTGCAAAGGCATCCACCTCTAAATTAAAACTATCAATCTCTTATATGCCAATAGCTAGTTTTGCTATTAAGCCAAAAATTAGTTCTACAGTAGAACAACTTTCTATATACAACAAGTAAATCATACATATTTTCTTATTACTTAAATAAATACTAATAATTTTATTAATATGGTATAATTCACTTGTTGTATATAGAAAGTTGACTCCACTATGGAGCTAAATGTTGACTTCATAGCAAAATTGTGCGAATAATTACTAGCGGACAATGAATAGTTGCATATATAACAGTATAAGTGGAAAATTGATAACAAACTATAATAATAAATTTGACTAGTGAATTGAATATTTATATGTATTGTGGTTTTTAAATAAGTGATTGGTAAATAACAATTTTTATAACTCTTTTGGGAGTCTTACCTTTGGCATGCTATTTTATAGGAATTAAAGACACCCTACACTTCTCAATAAAAATTGTTTACGTAAAAACAACACTTATCTATTAAGTCAAAAATACCTTTTTTTATTACATTCTGAACGCCCCAAGTGGGCAAATTTAGCGAACGGACGGTTAAAGATTGTGACGGTTCCTTTTTATTTAATTTTTTTCTCTCTATCTTTTGTTTTACATGGATCTCTCTTCTTCTTCCCCTTTTCTTTTTCTTCTTTTATAATTTCGCAGGTAAAGAGAGCATGTAAATTCAGTGAAAAATCCAAATTCTTGAACACTATACAATGAATTCCTACCGAATTATAATCACCCAAGGCATCATTCCCAATCCTACCCAATCGTCATCCCCAAACCATCACCCGAGCATTCAACTGCCACCGCCCGACCTTGAGCCGGCGTCGTTCGTAGGCGAGCCGAAATTGAGAAGCCACACCCGACTTAAGAGTCCCAAGGCCACGTCTTAGCCGACCAAAGCTTCGTACTCGTCCTCTTCCACACTCGTAAATTGGATCCTCCATCTCAATTTGGGTCGTCGGCGGGTTTAGGGGTTGTGGCCTGGCGGAGATTTGGGCCGCCGGGCAGGTTGATGAGATTTTGCAACTTGTCGGGGCCATTCATGAACCATGGTTACCAGGTAATGAAAATTAATTTTTTTTCTAGAAATTTAGACTATTGCTAATTTTTCTAATGTGTTTGTGCAATGTTTTATGATTTTGCATTTTTTTAAGTAATGGTTTTTGAATCTCTGTTCATTACCTGTTTTACATCATTTCATTGCATATGAATATAATTTGCTTGTAAACAAAAGGTACTACAAGTGTTCATGTGATTACTCGTGTAACTGTGTTCACAAAATCTATATGTAATTTGGTGTATTGGGGCTCTTAAACATTTGTGATTGGTTTCATGATTATCTTCATTTTTTTTTTTTTATTTCAACTTATAGAAAGTTGTTTTCATATTGTTTGATATATATATATTTGTTGTTTTGTTGTTATTTTTTTGTTGTTTCTGTGTTATTTTGTTGTTGTTTTGTTGTTATGAAACTCATACCATGTTTTTGTTTTTTATAAACTACATTATTAATTTTTTTTAGTTGCAATAACAATTTTTTTGTTTTTTGTGTTTGCTTTTATAATTCATGTTTGAAGAAGAAGAAGAAGAAGAATAAGAAATTGAAGAAGAAGAAGAAGAAGAAGAAGAAAATGAAGAAGAAGAAGAAGAAGAAGAATTGAAGAAGAAATAAAGATGGAGGAAACGTTGAAAAGAAAAGAAAAGAGAGAAGAAAAAGAGATAAAAGAAAAGGAGAGAAGGAAAATAAGATATTTAATTTTTAAAATTAAAACAGTTTCTATTTAATTTGGTGGTTTTACCGTTGTTGGAATGAAAAAGGTGTTTTTGGAATTCAATATAATCTGCTGTTTTAATAGAATATTTTTTCATGAGTGGGTTAGTTATGTACTTTTCCCATTTTATAGATTATCTATATATATCAAAGACTGTTCTATTGAGGTTTTTGTTAAGAATTCGAGTATGGGCCACAAAAACAAATGATATGGGTTTTTTTACCAACCAGGCTAGTTAGCATATTTGATGAATAAAAAATCAAAATAATATTCACTCCGCTGACATACAAACAAATTAATTATCTACCTATCTGTAAACACAAATTTTGAATGAATATGTAACTGACCATAATAATTGATGATTGATATCATAATATAGTGTCTGCTTTGAATTTGAATTTTATACATTGTTTAATAATATGGCCCAAAAAAAAAAAAGTTCTTTTTGAGTATTTTTTTCCAAACCATAAATTCATTAACTAATCTCAATTTTTTACAAATCGGTAACCAACGGGTTACTAATAATTCCAATTAGGACATGCCCTAATCAGAAAATAAACTGGGGGTTGCACATAAAGAGCTGTCCCTAAATGACCACTTCGGTCTCCACTACAAGCAACAAAACACAAAATATAATTACAAAGCTAGAAAATTTACAATCACAAAACAGTCACACAGGTCAAATATGTCCCCTGCTATCATACACCAAGGCAAGTCAAAACCCTCCCTGTTTTGCAGCATAGCAGCTAACCTGTGGTTTTTGAATTGAAATTCCATCTGCTGCCACCCTTTCTGCCATCCTTCCTCCAGCTTGTCCCTAACAGCCAAAAGCTCCTCCTCCACTAAAGAATTAGTGAAATCCTCCCTAGAGTAGTACCATTGAGCTGCCACCTCTCCATCTTTTCAGGCTTTCCCTTTTTGTCTAATCATATCAGGGATTGAGCCAGTAGCACTGGTTGATCCTTGGATCATCCCTACTCCCTGCACCTCTCCCTTATCTATGCCATTGGTTCCATTTGGTTCCAGCCTTCCCTGCCTCTGATCTTTATCCTTTGCCCCAGCTGACTCAAATTCAAGCCACTCCCATTTTGCCATCTCAACTACAGTTACCTCAGAGCACTCCTTCTTATCAAATAACCAGCTATTTCTTGTCTTCCACATCCACCACAATAGATATGTAGACAAAGCAATTTTGTTCCTATTGTGAATGTTTATGGACAGACTACAAGGATCCTCCCACCATAAATCCAATTTCAGCCCTTTCCAATTTATCCCATTGAAGCCATCTTCCAAATGTTCTGGGCCCTCACACAAGTAAAGAACAGATGATTTATATCTTCCTCGGCCTCCCCACACCAGCCACAAATTGCATCCACCTCCATCCCCTTTTGTATGAGCCTTGACTTTGTACCTAACCAGTTGTGCCAGCATTTCCACACAAAGTTTCTAATCTTGTGTTTAACAGGTAGCTTCCAGACTGTCTTCCACACCTTTTGTCTCCTCACTCTCCCAGTGCTGGATTCAACACTTCCTCCATGTGACCATCAAATCAGAAACCATACAGATTCTCTCCCTATCCACATGAAAACAACAAGTAGGCTTAAACAAAGGAGATTCAGGGATCCAATGTGAGTCCCATACATGAATAGCCTGCCCATTTCCTACTTGGTATCTAGCCCCTAAAGCCAAAGATTTCCTAGCCTCTAGCCAACTCTTCCACATCCAAGAGTCATTATTCCTAGATTTCACTTGCATGATATTCTGCTGATGAAAATATTTCCCTCTAATCCCTGACTCATCAAAATATTGGGATTGGTTAGCACTCTCCAGAGTTGTTTAACCAATAATGCCTCATTAAAGTCTCTCAAGTTACTAAATCCTAACCCTCCTTCTATTTTAGGCTTGGCTATTTTATCCCATGTAGCCCAATGAATTCTTTGACCCCCTTGCCCATTCTGCCCCCACCAGAACCCAGCCACCACCTTACAAATATCCTCACACACACCAACAGGAACTCTAGACACAGACATAACATATGTAGGCATAGCACTCAACACTGTTTTTATTAAAATCTCTCTTCCTGCTTCACCCAGAAATCTGTTCTTCCAGCTAGTTACTCTATTGACTACACACTCCTTCACAAAAGAGAAAGTCTCTTTCTTGTTTCTGCCAATACCTAGGGGAAGACCTAGGTATTTAGCTTTGTGAGCTTCAGTAATACCATGAAGTTTTTGGCAGATAAAATTCTTATTAGCCACAGGAGTATTCTTGGAAAAAAAGATGCTGGATTTCTCAAAGTTAACTGCTTGACCTGAAGCTTTACAATAAACAGAGAGGATATGAAGCAAAAGAGAAGCATGGTGATTATCAGCTTGGCAAACAATCAAGGAGTCATCCGCAACAAAAAATGAGAAATAACCAGAGAAAATTTACTGATCTTTAACCCTTTGAAAGATTGGTATATACAAGCTTGCTTAATAAGGTTTGAAAAAGCTTCTAAAAGGATTATGAATAGGTAAGGGGACAGAGGATCCCCTTGCCTTAATCCTCTAGAAGGGATAAGATTACCTAATGGCTGCCCCTCAAAATTAAAAGAGAAAGACGATGAGAAGATACAAGCCTTCACCCACTGCAAAAACAAATCACAAAAACCCATTTGGTGACAAACTAAAAGAAGAAAATCCCATTCTACCCTATCATAGGCTTTTGTCATATCCAGTTTGAGGGCCATGAAGCACTTCTTCCCTCTTTTTTTACTATTCAAAAAATGCAGACATTCATTAGCTAATATTACATTGTCTAGAATCTGCCTATTAGGCAAAAAAGCAGCCTGAGCTTGAGAAATACAAACAGGAAGAATAGGCTTTAATCTATTAGCTAATATTTTGGCAATAATCCTATAGGTTACAGTGCATAAACTAATAGGTCTATAATCTGTGACTTTTTCTAGCTTTTTTCCTTTAAGGATTAGGGTAACGACTGTATGATTAGTGGCTCTGGGGATACAAGCAGTTTGCAAAAAATTAGCCACAGCATTTAACATGTCATGTTTGATAATGTCCCAAGAAGATTGAAAGAAAGGACTAAAGCCATCAATACCTAGAGATTTTAGAGGTTTCATGTCCCACAAGGCCTTTTCAGCTCCTCTTCATCTACTGATTTTGTGAGAGTCTGATTCATTTTCTCTGAAACAGTTTTGGGGATACCATGTAACACACCAACATCCAGCCCAGGTAGTTCAGACTTGTATAGCTTATAAAAAAAATGAAGGATCTCAGCCAAAGCCTCTTGTCTCCCCTCACACCTCCCTCCATTCATCTTAACTAGGTTATCCAAACAATTACTAATTCTCCTCTGCTTCACACAAGCATGAAAGAATCTAGTATTCCTATCCCTCTCTTGCAACCACCTAACCCTTGCTTTTTGTTTCCAAAACATTTCTTCATCCTTGTAGGCTTGATGGAGCTTAGTTTTGCAGTCAAACCACTCTTCCCAATTTCTAAAACCCCCTTGAGAACCCAACATTTCTAACTTAGCATTGCAAATCTTAATCAAATTGGCAGAATTAGTACCACTTTTACCCACCCACCCCAATAAACACTCTTTCACACTTCTCAATTTTTGCTAAAACTTATACATCCCTATCTTAGAAACCCTTTTATCCCAAGCTCCTTGGACACAGTCCTTATAACCTTCATTCTTAACCACCTACTATCAAAGAAGAACCTTTTCCTACCCTTCATATTAGTAATCTCATAATCCAACATGAGCATGCTATGATCTGAAGCCGCCAGGGGAATATTAAGGACTGAAGTATTGGGGAATTTTAAAAACCACCCAGGGGATAAAAACACCCTATCTAATTTCTCCTCAATAAAGTCACTCCCCTTCCTATTATTAGCCCAAGTAAAAGGATGCCCTTTGGTAGGACAATCCACTAATGCTAACCCATGACAAAAGCTCCTGAAACCACTAAAACTAACCTCCTCTCTTCTCACCCCACCATGCTTCTCCTCGTTACTGAGAATATCATTAAAATCCCCTCCCATGAACCACAAATCACACCACCTAAAATGATGTCTACACAAAAGACTAAGCTGCTCACTTCTGATTCTAGAATCAACACTAGCATAAACAAACACTGCCCATAAAACCTCCTCCACCCCCTAAAGATTAAACAAACCTCTAAACTAAAGAAATTATGGACAATCTCAATAATAGACACCTTCTCAGACCAACACAAAAGCAAACCCCCACTCTTCCCCACAGGGTCAACACTCATCCATCTATCCCCTACATTAAGATTCTTACAAACAGTAGCAACAAAAGACTTCTTTTTTTTTGTTTCAGAAATAAAAGTGAAAATTGGGAGGTAGGCTCTTAACTTAGCCTTCAACTGGGAATTGTAGAAGGTCCCCCCAAACCTCTACAATTCCACACCAAGACTATCATTGAAAACTTGGGACCAGTTGTGGCTGGTTTCCTCCACCATAGTTTCAAAGAGATTGGATTCTATTTTTTGTTTTTTCAAAGCAAAAAAATTGTCAGTGACTACTACAGTATCCCCTTCAGGTTCTTTCCTTTTAAGAACAGCCCCTTCTTGAGAAGGTTCTGTCTCATTCCCATGCCCTTCACCTAATTTTGAGTTGGTTTCTGCAAACCTACTCCTATTGATTTTCACACATGTTTTCTTCTTTCTCATCAAAGAAGATTCAGCAGAAAATTGATTCACTTTAACCTCCATCAAAGCTGGTGGTTGAGGAATCAAGTGTGAACTAAGATATATACTATCCCTTTTCCCCTCCAAACTCCCACCCTCAGGCACATCAAAGGACCCCTGTATATCAATTGAAGACCTGTCAGAAGACCCCCCCTCGTCCCCTTTTTCCTTCACCCAACAACTAAAACTCTATTCTCATCTTGCTTATGACTCTCACTTCCTACCTGACTATCTACTCTTGGTTCACTTTCCTTAGCCTTGCTAGATTCTGAGTCTAGCTTAGTCCTACTCAAATTAGGATATCTATAATCTCTGGATTCACTAAAGCTCACAAAAGATCCCCTTAACCAATCCCCATACTGACCAGCCCTAATAATATTTCCCTGGACATCAGCTTTTTTGATCTCGCATGCTCTGTCACTGTGCCCTATCCTTCCACAATAGAAACAAAAATTCATCAAGTTCTCATATCGAAACTCCATCCATTGTTCCTCTTTGCCCAATTTAATTAAGGTTCCTCTAGGAATGGGTTCAAGAACACTCACCTCTGCTAAAATTTTCATCATATGCCCGTTGGAACTACCAGCTCTAGGAGTGATCACATCCTTCACTCTTTGAAACATCTTCCCCACTTTCAGGCTTGTTTCATGGGAAATCCAGTGGAGAGGCAACCCATGTAGTTGTACCCACACCTCCACTTTAAGTTCATGATCGTTAAATGCTATGTTGTTTGGTTGCCACTCCTTTAAAATGAGATACTGCCCATCAAACGATCAGGCCTTCCCTTTCAACACTTTCAACTTATCTTCCTCGATTTGAAAAATGAACTGGAACAAGTTAGGCCCAAGCATTTTAACAGAGAATGGCCTACCAGTACGCCAGATTGTTCCCATCGTATTTTTCAGCCCTCCTAGGTTCACCTTTTTTTCCCCAATAACTTTCCCAATAAGACTGAGACCACATTCCTTAATCCCTAATTTGATGTCCGTTTCTGCCAAGTGTACACCTGATCTTTCCTTTTCCTATAACTCAAACCGTTGAAATTGGTCGATAATCCCTTTCTCCATCCTCTTCCGGTCAGACTCTCACAAATCAGTAGACTTCAAGATCGCGAATAAACTCTGCAGTAGCCATAGAACTCCAAAACCCCAAATATGATAACTCGTAAAAGAGGAAAACCAAACCCCCCCAAACACTCAGCCCCAAGAACATACAAAAGATAATGCCCAAGAACAAATAAAGAAAAACGAGGAAGACACGAATAAGAAGATAGAACGCAAATGAGAGACTAAAGATCGAGATCTGCCATCCAATTCATGGAACTAAGAACCCTAGAAAGAGACTTTTCTTTTTAATGGGACACTTGTCAATCCTGACAAAGGCATTATATTGCTGACTTTTAGTTACATTCGAGTATTTCCACTATTTTAGTTAATTTTTGTTATTATAAGAAACAAATGTTCAACACTCGTCGTTGACCATTTTTGTTTGCTCAAATTCTTATTAGATTTGTGCCATTAGGTTTCTAAGTTAATTACTACTTACATTTGGTACTTCATCCATGTACATAACATTAATTGTTAAGGGTGTACTTGGATATGAATATATCTTCTCAAACAACTTTTTTTTTTTCTGTGTTAATCATAACTAATTTTAAAAAAACAGTATGATTAGTTGTTAGTAAGATTTTGAGTTCATATAAAATAATATTTAAAATAAAATAATTAAAGTTAATTTGATATAAAAGTAAGTTGGATATGGTATAAAGTGATGTTAGTTAAAATTATGTGAGTGAATGAATAATTAATTAAAATTGATTAGATGTGTAAAAATGATTGATTGATATTATTTAATTATATCGATAATATTGAGGTTAGTTGGGTTGATTAAAGTTAAGTTAGACTTTTGAATGCGAGTTGAGTTAATTTATAAACAAACACACCCTAAATATATCATTTTAGGCTCATACTTTTAACATCACATATGCGTGCTTTCAAATAAAAAATGTCATTATTAACAATATATATAAATAATAAATATAAATTTACATTTCAATTTGATCGCAAATGTTGAATAGTTGTCTACGATTAGATCGATGGACCTTTCATATTATTTTTAAGAAAATTATACATACAATGCGCGTACACATATATACCGAATGTTAGATTTCAATATGAAAATATGCACAAAACTTAAAAAATATAATTACCTAGAATACATATAATAAGAACATAAGATGCTGCTTTTAACTAAAATATAATTTTATGTGTGTGATAGAAAAAAATAATGATTAGTGTTGACGTTTCATATATTACATCACATGTTAAATTAATAATTACTCCACTTTCATCCCACTTATACCAAACTTTATGTCAATTTTTTACATGCCTATGCGCATATCAATATGTTTGTTTCTCTTTAATTTATGTATATGAAAAAGTTTAATTCATACTCAAATTATACTTAAAACTTAATTTAAGTTTAACTCAATTTCATTATCCTCGATATTATCAATATAATTACATAATACTAACCAATCATTATTATACATCACATCAACTTTAATTTACTCACATAATTTTTAACTAACAATCACTTCAGACCATCTTCACACCATCATTTCACATCACATCTACTTTTTTATCAATCAATTTTAATTATAATTTTTAAATATTATTTTAATATATAACTAAAATTCAACTAACAACTAACCATACTATTTTTTTAAAGTAACAAAGAATATGTTATGTATTACATTTTATACAATTAATATAGAGATTTGTGTATAGTTAACTAATTTATATTTATATAGTTTATTTACTAATAATTAAACTTATAAAATATGATATACACATATCTATTTTATAATTTTAATGTTATATATATAAATAATTTATAATACTTTGTAATTTATATCTGTTCATGTACAAAGGATCAACTACTAGTTGAATATTATTAGTTTTGTTAAATAATGTGGAAAAGCAATAAATATAAGTTTTGGACTGGCATAAGTCATAACTTTGCTCCAACCTCCACAATTGTGGTGTATCTCTCTCTCTCCTTCTTAAAAGCTCTCTATCTGTAAGATCATCTCTCTCTAATCTCTATAGAGCGAGGATAACGGACTTCACAATTTCACACACACAGTCACAAAGAGTCGCACGCAATTTATGCACGCACACACACAATCTCAAATCTTGCTACCCTTTTCCAGCTGTGAATGAGGTGCAAGAAACACCCGGCCGACGCCACAAGCGGCATCGGCGTCTGCGCCTCCTGCCTCCGGGAACGCCTCTTCGCCATCATCGCGGCCCAATCCCAGGCCCAGACCCTCAAGCAGGCCCAGGCCCATAGGGACCTCCGCCGGCCCGACGCCGACCCGCCCCTCCCCTTCCCCCGCTCCGTCTCGCCGTACATCTCCCGCCGGAAGTCGGACACCGCCGCCGCGTGCCAGCCCCAAGGCCGCCGTCCCCACCGATTCTACAGCACCCCCCTGGTGGGCCCTGCCGGCCCAATCGCGTCGGGGTTTGAGAAGGAGAGGAAGAGCAGGCGCGGGGTTTTCTCCTCCCTGTTCTCGGGCCTCTTCAGATCCAAATCGGACAAGTCGGGCCCGATTCACGATCCCGGCCCTCCGATCGAAACTTCCTGGTCCGCCCCTTCCCCATCGTGGTTCCCGACGGATTTATTCACCGGCCGCCGGAAAAAGAACGCCAGGACGTTCTCGATCGACGAGTTCAGGTGCGGATCGCGGCCCGCTAGAACCCGCGACAGGGGAATGTCCCCGGCGGGTTGCTCCGGCGACGAGGACCGCGGCGGATCGAGCGGCTGCTCGCCGGAATCGCCCCAGGGCTGGAGGCAGACCCCGCAGAGGACGCCGGCGCAGGCGCGGCGGGGCGGGGGGAAGGCAGCGGCCGGTAAGGGCATGTCGTCGGGGTTGAAATTTTGCTTGAGCCCCCTTGTCCGGGCCAGCCCGAGCCGCCCCTGGAGCCAGAAGGGCTTTCCACCGGAAATGTCGCCGGTCGGGGAATCTAGGATTCCGGTTAAGCCGTACCTCTCCACGGCCACATCATTTTGCAAGAACCGATCGAGGAAGCTCGCCGATTTCGGGAGGCACAGTTTCGATCCCAGCCATTGATTCATCCTTGTGGCCTTTGACTTTTGACCAAGGCAAAATTGTCTTATGGACATAATTATGGGTAAATTTTACCCCATTCGCCTTTAAATTAGTCTTATTTCGCCCTTTTCTACTTCCATTTTTCTGGGATGTATGCCTTTTTCTTTGGCATTTTATTTTTTTTAAAGGGATATATATAAATATACACGTATCATAAAATTGGGATTTCTGGTTGTAAATTGCATTGCAAATTTGCAATAGACAATAGTAATGGTTTTTGGTGAAAGTGTAGGGAATTTACTTAAATGCCCCCTCATCTCATTTGTTAAAAAGCACAAGGATTATTTTATTATTTATTATTTTTGTGTGTGTGTGTGTGTTTGTCCATTGCAAATGGAGCTGGAAGAGTCATTGTTGACAATTCTCCTGCTATAGTGCTAATAATGGACCAGATCAAAATGGCTCAATTAAATTCTACTGCTTCTTCAATTTAGTGAAGTTTCTAGAAAAAAAAATATATATCAAACGGCGCAATGCACCTTGGGTCGCTACGAAAACAACCTCCTTGTATAATTACAAGGGTAAGGTCTGCGTACAATTGACCCCCAAGACCCCCAACCTGTTGGGAATATACTGGGTATATTGTTGTTGTGTGTGTGTGGAAGTGGGTTGAAAATTTAAATAACAAGTAATAGTGGGGGGTGAAAGCAATTGCTCCCCATTTGGATTGTGCACTTTTTTGGTGTTTGGTGGGTTTTTGATGATTGGTGGGTGAAATGTGTAAAGATGCCTAAAGGGTTGACAAATTAATT